TGTCCCCACTACCTGGGCGAGTTCCCCACTACCTGGGCGAGTTCCTCACTACCTGGGCGAGTTCCTCACTACCTGGGCGAGTTCCCCACTACCTGGGCGAGTTCCCCACTACCTGGGCGGTGTCCCCACTACCTGGGCGAGTTCCCCACTACCTGGGCGGTGTCCCCACTACCTGGGCGAGTTCCCCACTACCTGGGCGGTGTCCCCACTACCTGGGCGAGTTCCCCACTACCTGGGCGGTGTCCCCACTACCTGGGCGAGTTCCTCACTACCTGGGCGAGTTCCCCACTACCTGGGCGGTGTCCCCACTACTTGGGCGAGTTCCCCACTACCTGGGCGAGTTCCCCACTACCTGGGCGAGTTCCCCACTACCTGGGCGAGTTCCCCACTACCTGGGCGAGTTCCTCACTACCTGGTTGATTTCCCCACTACCTGGGCGAGTTCCCCACTACCTGGGCGAGTTCCCCACTACCTGGGCGAGTTCCCCACTACCTGGGCGGTGTCCCCACTACCTGGGCGGTGTCCCCACTACCTGGGCGAGTTCCCCACTACCTGGGCGGTGTCCCCACTACCTGGGCGAGTTCCCCACTACCTGGGTGAGTTCCCCACTACCTGGGCGAGTTCCCCACTACCTGGGCGAGTTCCCCACTACCTGGGCGAGTTCCTCACTACCTGGGCGAGTTCCTCACTACCTGGGCGAGTTCCCCACTACCTGGGCGAGTTCCTCACTACCTGTGCGGTGTCCCCACTACCTGGGCGAGTTCCCCACTACCTGGGCGAGTTCTCCACTACCTGTGCGGTGTCCCCACTACCTGGGCGAGTTCCCCACTACCTGGGCGAGTTCCCCACTACCTGGGCGAGTTCCCCACTACCTGGGCGAGTTCTTCACTACCTGGGCGAGTTCCCCACTACCTGTGCGGTGTGCTCACGACCGGCTCCGCTTTCACGGCGGAGGCCTCGCTCCGAATCGGTCGAGCGGCGATGCCTTTTCATCGGCTGCATAACGCCGCTGTGCCTCAGCCACCCGGTCCGTCGCTCCACGCGAAGCTTCGGGTCTCCTTCGGCGGGGGCATCAGCTTCATCGGCGGCATGGGTCGCGTTCGGAGGGCAAGCGGCCAAACGCAAACTAAACATCTCGATTTAAAGCTTTCGTGACTGCAAGGGTGCTAAATTCTATGCCAATTCCTTTGTCAGGGCTCTCCGTTTCTTCTCACGCAGCTTAAAGGTCGCGGTCTGGGCTTGGCTGTGTTCGCTCCAGCGCTGTCCTCCAGACAGTCTCGTCCCTTCACCTGATGAAGGCCGCTTGTGTTGTGGCCGAAACGTCGCGATAATTTTATCGTGTTATTTTATTTTACCAATTTATTATTTTATTCTCATTCCACGTGACTTTACCGAAAGAACCAAAGAAGGCAAACTAAACAGTCCGCTATGATGGATGAGATTGGTCGTGAAAGCCTCCCGCGACTCCTAACTACAACTAACTACTAAGACCGCAACAACTGCCAAACATTACTACTAATACTACTGCTAGTACTACTATGTGTATGTCTGTGTCTGTGTGTTTGTGTCTCGTGTGTGAGACTGCCAAACAACAGGGAGTGGCTCTTCTTCTGAACATAATAATGAAGGGGGCGTGGGAGCGTGGCGGTGAGGTGTGGGAAGCTGTAAGCCCCAGGCTACTTTGGGCTCACCTTCCCATCAACCGGAGGCGAGTGGTGGTCGGAGTTACTTATGCCCCCACCGAAGACGAACATCCGTGGAGGGATGCAGGCAAGGTCGATGAGTCAGATGCCTTCTATCACCTCCTGTCACAGGTGCTGGCTAAAGTGGCACCTCGGGATAGAGTCATCATGTTGGGTGACTTCAATGCCCCAGTTGATCATGATGCTGGCACCTGGGCTGGAGTGATTGGAGGGCATGGGCCGGATCAGCTCAATAACAACGGTAGGAGGCTGCTAGATTTTTGTGCAGCCCATGGGCTTGTAATTACCAACACGCTGTTCCGGCATCGGCGCATCCACACATCACGGATGCACGCCGGGTCCAAACAAGAACATCTGCTGGACTACAAAGTGATGGACCAGTGAATGCGAGCCCATGTCCTTGACACCAGGACCTACCGTGGAGCTGATCTGCCCTCTGACCATCGACTTGTCATCTGTAAGATGCGCCTGCCATTCTTCCACTCCGGTGGTGGGTGTACACCCAGGACCCCATTCCAACCTACAGTGGCCTGGTCTCAGTGATCTTATGAAAGTTGCAAGCGAGAATTTCATCATCGCTTGCGGCTGGGGTTGGCATCGTCCCCCACTCCTAATGTCGAGGGTAAATGGGCGAGGTTTAGGACTCAGGCAGCGGCAATGGCTGCTTTGGGTACGCGGTCCAGACCTCCCCAGAGACCCTGGCTGACAGAGGAGGTGTTCAGGATGGTTGAGAAAAAGCGACAGGCCCACTGTCATCGGCTACTGAATCCCACGTCAGAGAATGAGGAGGCTTACCGCAGCCTTTGCTTGGAGGTTCAGAGAGCCGTGAGGCGCTGCAAGGATGGGTGGTGGTCGCAGGTTGCTGAGGAGATGGAGTCTGCCTCAGTGGCCCGCGATGACAAATCTCTATTTAACTCCATCAAAAAAGTAACCTGCAGCGCCACACCTATTACCATCATTAGGGGAAAAAACAGTGATCCAATCTCCGACACCCAGGAACAGGTTTGCAGATTTGCTGAGCATTTCTGTGAGGTCCTGGGGGAGGGGAAATCCCTCAGCCAGGAAAAGTGGGGATGACCATGCTGAGGCTGCGGTGCCTCAAATATTGGAAGAAGTCACCCCCTGTGAGTGGCTGGCTGAGGTGCCATCTGTTGAGGAAGTACTGAAGGCGATCCAGAGTCTGAGACCAGGAAAGGCACCGGGCAGAGACGATCTCCCAAGCGAAATGCTGAGGGAGGGTGGCGTTTGTGCACAGACTGCCCTACATGATATCATCATAACAGTCTGGGCCACTAGGTCGGTTCCACAGGATTGGAAGGATGCCCTGGTGGTCCCCCTCTTTAAGAAGGGGGACCGCACAGACTGTAACAACTACAGGGGCATCTCACTCCTCAGTGTGCCGGGAAAGGTCCTGGCAAGGATTATTCAGCATCACCTCGCCAGGCACGCTGAGGAGAGGCTTGCGGAGCCCCAATGCGGTTTCAGGAAAGGGTGGTCCAGCACCGATGCCATATTTTCTGTCTCGTCTGCTACAGCAGAGGTGTAGGGAATTCCAGCAAGACCTACATCTATGCTTTATTGACCTGGTCAAGGCCTATGATACCATCAGAAGGCCTGGGCTCTGGGTTGTTCTTCATGCTTTCAGAGTCCCTGACCCTCTGCTCACGATCATTAAGGACCTTCATGATGGTGAGCGGGCCCGGGTAAAACTATGTGGCCGGAAGTCAGAACCATTCCCTGTACACCTTGCGGTGCGACAGGGATGTCCTCTGGCTCCCACATAATTTAACATCTATTTTGACCACGTAGTTCGTGAAGCCTTCAATAGCTGTACCGGGGGAATCTCCACATGGTACAGATACAATGGGAGGCTGATCGATGCCCGGGTGCGGTCAAGGGATGGCTCCCTATTGCTCAACCACGTTATGTATGCTGATGATTTGGTAATTGCTGCTCATTCAGAGGAGTTGGAGACGCTGCTGCTGAGACTGGAGCGTGCCACTAAGAGGTGGGGCCTTACCATCAGCCCCACCAAAACTAAGCACCTGCCTGGGTATTTTGTACCATCGGACACTCCACCCACACAACTCCCAATCAGTGATGGGGCAGTTGTGGAGAGAGTGGAGAGTTTCCCATACCTGGGCAGTGTGCTCATAACCTGCTCTGGTTTAATAGCAGAAGTCTCACTCCGAATCAGTCGAGCGGTAATATCTTTTCATCGGTTGCGTAACGCTGTGTGGAAGCTACCTGGTCTGTCGCTCCGCACGAAGCTTCAGGTCTTCTCGGCCATGGTCATTCCCTCCTTTCTCTACGCTTGCGAGACGTGGACCCCCCTAATAGAGCATCTTCGCCGGTTAGAAACATTTATGCTGGACTGCCTACGATCAATCCTGGTTTAACCAGGCTGGATTGTGTGAGGAGCTCACAAATCCTTGAAAGATCTGGGCAAAGTCCCATCGGTGAGCTCCTCCGGCAGGCAAGGCTGCGTTGGCTGGGCCATGTAGCCCGCATGCCCAGCCACCGCATGCCGAAACAGCTTTTGTTCAGCCGGATAGAGGGGGCTAAACGGGCGCGGCACGGGCTAGAGAAGAGATGGAGTGACGTGGTACAGGGGGACGTGGAGCTGAGTGGACTTGCCGATGACTGGTACCAGCGGTGTCAAGATCGGCCTCTGTGGAGGAGGCTCGTGAAGGACGCTACTGGGAAGTTGGAGGCAGTCGCCCTCCAACAACAACGGAGGGCGGAGGAGCGACGCTCACAACAACGAGCGGTGCGCCGGGTGGCTAAAGCACAGCAAGTTGGCACAGTAGGGGGCACAGGTGGTGCATCAGCCAGTCATCTCAGTCAGTCGACCCGTGGCACCTGCTGGGTCTGCCCCGTGACCTCCTGCCAGCGGGCGTTCGACACTTCACGTGGCCTCAGGGTGCACATAGCCTGGCACAAGCGTCGTGGTGACGTCACCACCACTTAGTGGCGAATGGCGGTTGTTGTTGTGTCTGTGTGTGTGTGAATAAGTTTTACTCAGTCGCCCTCAACTCGGCCCTCAACTCCACCTCCACGCTTCACCTTCACCGGCGCCTGAGACCGGTGGGGGCTGCTGCTACCGTGACATTTCCGTTTGGCGGCCGAAATCACCGTCACGGCCGACGGGAAACCACCTCCACCACCACCACCACTTCCACCACCACCACCGCCACCTCCACCACCACCACCACTTCCACCACCACCACCGCCACCACCGCCACCACCCCCAACAACACCGCCACCACCCCCAACAACACCGCCACCACCCCCAACAACACCGCCACCACCGCCATCTCCTCCGTCTTCGGTCTCCATCGGACGGCTCTCCGGTCGGCCATCGGAACGTCCGGCAGCTCCATCGCCACCCTGTGTGGTAGCTCCATCACTGTCCTGTGTGGTAGCTCCATCACTGTCCTGTGTGGTAGCTCCATCACTGCCCTGTGTGGTAGCTCCCTTGCCACCCTGTGTGGTAGCTCCCTTGCCACCCTGTGTGGTAGCTCCATCACTGTCCTGTGTGGTAGCTCCCTTGCCACCCTGTGTGGTAGCTCCATCACTGTCCTGTGTGGTAGCTCCATCACTGTCCTGTGTGGAAGCTCCATCGCCACCCTGTGTGGCAGCTCCATCGCCACCCTGTGTGGTAGCTCCATCACTGCCCTGTGTGGCAGCTCCATCACTGTCCTGTGTGGTAGCTCCCTTGCCACCCTGTGTGGTAGCTCCATCACTGTCCTGTGTGGTAGCTCCATCACTGTCCTGTGTGGCAGCTCCATCACTGCCCTGTGTGGTAGCTCCCTTGCCACCCTGTGTGGAAGCTCCATCGCCACCCTGTGTGGTAGCTCCATCACTGTCCTGTGTGGTAGCTCCCTTGCCACCCTGTGTGGTAGCTCCATCACTGTCCTGTGTGGCAGCTCCCTTGCCACCCTGTGTGGTAGCTCCATCACTGTCCTGTGTGGTAGCTCCATCACTGTCCTGTGTGGTAGTTCCCTTGCCACCCTGTGTGGTAGCTCCCTTGCCACCCTGTGTGGCAGCTCCATCACCACCCTGTGTGGAAGCTCCATCGCCACCCTGTGTGGTAGCTCCATCACCGCCCTGTGTGGTAGCTCCATCACCGCCCTGTGTGGCAGCTCCATCACTGCCCTGTGTGGCAGCTCCATCACTGTCCTGTGTGGTAGCTCCATCACTGTCCTGTGTGGCATCTCCATCACCCTCCTGTGTGGTAGCTCCCTTGCCACCCTGTATGGTAGCTCCATCACCGCCCTGTGTGGCAGCTCCATCACCGCCCTGTGTGGAAGCTCCATCACCACCCTGTGTGGTAGCTCCATCGCCACCCTGTGTGGCAGCTCCATCACCGCCCTGTGTGGCAGCTCCATCGCCCTCCCGTCCGGCGGCCGGGCGAGACCGGCGACCTCCCCGCCGCCCCTTCACCGCTTTCGCCGAACCGCCCTCGGCCCCTCCTCCGGCCCCTCCTCCGGCAACAACTCCGCCTCCTCCTCCTCCTCCTCCTCCGCCTCCTCCTCTGCCTCCTCCTCCTCCTCCTCCTCCGTGAGTCTTCTGGTGCCTCCGCAGGTGCCCCGACTGCGAGAACGTCCGGCCGCACAGCGCGCACGCGAAGGGCTCCTCCCCCGTGTGGGTCCGCCCGTGGATCCGGAGCTGCCCGGACTGCGCGAAGGCCTTGCCGCAGACGCCGCAGCCGAAGGGCCGCTCGCCCGTGTGCGTCCGCCCGTGCGCCCTCAGCTGGCCGCACTGGATGAACTCCTTGCCGCACACCGTGCACACGAAGGGCCGCTCGCCCGTGTGGATCTTGCCGTGCCGCTGCAGGTGGCCGAGCTCGGCGAAGGCCTTGCCGCAGACGCCGCAGCCGAAGGGGCGCTCCCCCGTGTGCGTCCGCCGGTGGTTGAGCAGCTGGCCCGACTGGGCGAAGGCGCGGGGGCACTGGGGGCACGCGAAGGGGCGCTCCCCCGTGTGCGTCCGCCGGTGGACGCGCAGGTGCGGGAGGCGAGCGAAGGCCTTGCCGCACACCGCGCACTCAAACGGCTTCTTGGCGGTGCCGCCGGTGGTGGTGGCGGTGCCGGTGGTGGTGGCCGGGGGAGGAGTGGCCTCGCCGGGGATGTCCATGGTGTGGCGGTGACGGTGTGTGGCGGTGACGGTGTGGTGGTGACGGTGTCGGTGGTGACGGTGTGGCGG